GGCATCCTGTAAAGGCACGGGACACCTTCTCGCTCTTCTCATATCATGTTAGTCCTCGAAGTGCCAGCGTAGTGTAATGCCATCTGCATCTGCAAGGTGATGCTATGGGAATTTTGGCTTAGTCCAAATAAAAGTATTAGTCTATGTGTCCCCCAGGAAGTCTGAATGGTTAGCTACCCTCTGCATTGACTGCTGCTTCCAGGAGGTAGCTTGAAGAAATTAAAGAGTCTTTAACGTTTCACTTTAAAACAAAGTGGAAACCAATATGAAGCTGAAGGAAAAAAAAAAAAAAAAAAAGAGTGTAAATAGCTATAAGCAGTAATGTGACAGCTAATCTAAGAATTGTTAGATGTTTAAGATATAATTACTGTGTATTAACTAGATGAGATCTACACAAAGAGTCTGATGAGCCTGCCAGAGAAATAAACCACAAAGTACTAGCTGGCCTGATTTATTTTTTTTCCATCATCATGTTTTAAATGTTCATGCATACTGATTAAAATTCAGGTTAGGGTCTTCGAAAGCTGTTGCCAAGTTTTGTCACTCAGGGATTTTTAGGTGCTGTAGATTTAACCCTCTGTCTGTCCTTTTGATGGCTAGCTTCCCAAATACCTGGGACAGATAATATTCTGCCTTGTCCAGCTGAACTGATGCATTCAGACTTCCTGAGGAAAAAGCCTCTTGAGTGCTTCTAAAATATTTATTTATTCAGGATTCATCTTACTGAATTTACTGTTTGCTAAAACAGGCTGTACTGTGCTGGCCTGGCATGAGATAATATGTTTGAGTTTACTCTTTCATTCCTATGGAATGATATTTGAGATGCACTTTTTTCATTTTTTCTAGAATATCAGGGGAAAATAATTTCAAGTGGAGAGAGAATTTTTCTGAACATCTGGGAACAAAATGGGAAAAGTTTGATAAATGGCATCTTGCTGACATGTAATAGCAACTAGCTCAGTGAAAGAATCTGGGGCATTGCAAATAAAAGGATTTTTCTTAACTGTGGTTCAATCAGATATGTAGTTTCGTGCGTACAGTTGACAGTAACAGATTATTCAGTTTGTCAGATTTAAAAAAGCGAAAAAATTCAGGCTTAAGTCATGCAGTAATCTTAATTTCAGAGGCAGACATGTCTGTATACAACAGAGACTGACGTTTTTTGACTACTTAACTTAGCAGAGAAGTTTCTTGTTCAAAATTTATATTCTGTTCAGGGGTTAACTACAATACTAAATATATGGAAATATTTCATACACTGATTATGGTATTGTCAGGTTATACTGGTAACTGCATAAACTTAAATTCTTTCAAGTGTTGAGTGTCCAACTGTTCTTCATTTTAGTCATTTTACGTTTGAGACACGGTGAGTTTAAAACCTGTGCGTTATTTTGATTTTATCCATTGCACATGGAATACCTCTATCGGTAAGTTTAAATTCTCTCAAATCAGCCAGACTCTCCTCACATGCACAATTTTAAACTGGAAGTAAGCTCACAGCAGTCAAACTTTGCAAACAGAAATAAAGGGAAAATTGTGTATTTAAAAACAAAGCAAAACTGAGTGTAGCTCAGAATATTTTCAGGAGAAAATACTTCAGCTGTATAGAATTTTTCCCTTGTATTGCTCTACCAGTCTGATGTCAAATGACATTTTTCCTTCATTTAACATAATTGTCTCTGAAATGTAACAGTGAAACAAACCATTAGCAAAATGCTGAGCTGTCAGAAGCAATCACTGGTTTCAGATCCAAATGGGGTGCTTTCCCTTCTCTGAAGGTACTCGTTGCAGTTTCCTATAGAGGTTCTTTGTGAAACATCCAGCGCTTGAAGGGCAGCATTGTAGCCACGCAGATCTGACCTGTCCCTCTGAAGGGACTGCCGGGGCTCCGTGTGGTGGCGCTTGTAGCTGCCCCATAGACTCCTCTGTGCTTTTCCTCTAAACCAGGCTCTCCACCAGCTTCAGTTGTAGCTGGGAGTGACCATTGCCACTGCAGATCAAGCACAACAAACGGCGGATGAGAAATAACCTAGCTGCCTATCTAAAAATAAGTGAGTTGCCTAATACTGTACCAGAATGCTTTGACGAAGCATTTCTTCCCGAAGTCCCTTCCTCTTTTGCGTGAGTAACTCTTGGCTGAGCAGCCTGAGTTTACTTCAGGAATATTGATAATAAAATTGGAAGGCTTTGCGAGTCGGTAGGAGTTGGGAGTGGGTCGGGTGCTCCATCCAGTCATTCCGGATGAAGGCTTACAGAAGGCAAACCATCTAAAGGCTGTGTAGCACCAGCCAGCTCCACCATGCAGATGGAGGTGAGAAATTTTAGTGAATTGGGTGTGAACTAGTAATTAAGAGCCGTGTTGATGGTTTCAATTCCCATGCTTTTGTATTTCTTATCTTTTGAGCATTTAATCTGTAGCCTTTAATGCAAACTGACAAATGCAGGATTCCTCCCCTGCAGAACTGTGGTAGTTTTTGGATCCATCGTGGACAAACTGAGAACTTTAATATGCAGCACAGGCTTCAGCCAAGTTAACGACAGTAATTATCCATTAATTTGTGTTGGCCAGCCACTAGAGGGGGACAAGGCAGCCGCTTTTCCAGGGGGTTTCACAGCTGCTGGCTGGCAGGGGGGAGGGAGTGCAGGTTTGGGGTCCCCCAGCCAGTGCCCCCCTTGCTGGCTCTGCTGCTTCCTTGACCTTCTCCCCTCTCTTCCCTGCCACCCACCTGAGTCTCATTCTTTCCCAGGTTTGGATGGTTTCACAAGCATAACAAAACGTGAAGATGATGCCCGCTGCCAAATTTCTTGGCTTTGTTGCATACTGTTAGCAAGTTTTGTTTAAGCAGGATAACTTTAGTGTGCGGGCTTGAGCACGTGCATACACTCTCACTCGCATGCATACAGGATTTTCTTATAACCTCATTCCTGGGAATGGTTAAAACTGTTGGGAAGATGATTCAACCTGAGGTTAACAATGTCACCGCAAGTGGAGAATATCATGGGCCATGTTAGGCAGGATGATCCATGGGTATCTGATCCCTGCTGCACTTGCAGTACATAGGAGCAACAGCAGAGGCTCACAAAATTGTTATCTAGTCATTACTTCAAAGTGATAGATGGGAAAGGTGGTTCCTGTAATCTCTGTGTGCCTGTAAATGAAGCGTCTTTCCCCTGATGTGCACCTGTAGGGCTTTGATGGGGTCCCTGCTCCTCCCAATGTCCCTGTCCGCTGGTATTCCCTTGGGAATGCAGCTCCGTTAAGTAGCAAGACCACTAATGTGGCACTGTCAAAATGAAGATGTTTGTTAACTTTGTCTTCTGTTGTTTAAAGTGTTACATCAGCTTGCTGGAATAACATAGATTTTATCATACAGTCATTTATCGTATAGTCACCTTAAATCTGTCTGCAGTTTGACTGTAGTGAGCTTACTGTCAGTCTGATTGTTTGAAATTATGATTTGTTATGGTACTTTTCCTACGTATTCACCATAATTGGGATCCTACCCCAAAACCTCAGACATAAGTCAGTAGAAAATATTCTTTCTATAAATACATACTACTCTTTTTATAAATAAGGATATGCTTATTATTTTTATTATTATTTTGCACACATAAAACTAAATGGCTTTACAATTTGCTGTATGGCAAAGTGCATTCAGCTTTTCCAGTAACGCTCTTTATAAAATGGATCATACAAAAGCCTGCAGGAATTCCTAACGTGAAGATAGTGCTGCCTGAATTTTCCCATAGGCGGTGTTTAAAGTCGGATTGGGTTGTGACATTAAATAACACCATATGGTGTGTTCATTCCCTGCTGCTAGAACTAGATGCTCAGTGCAGTTTCAGTAGCATTTTACAAGAGTTGATTGATTTTGGGGTGGGTTATAGGTTCTCAGAAGTTAGATGATCTTGAAAAAAATGTAGTGTTTGTCTTTTAAATACCAGAAGCACAACACTTGCAAGGGCTGTTTGTATTAATATAAAACTGAGGGCAGGGCTGTATGTACGTGTATGTATAATCGTGTACGTATAAAAGCGGTGTCAAACATGTCGAGAGCAGAACTTGGAATCAAACTCTACTTCAGATGATTAACTTTTGGGGACTTGCGCAAACTATTTTTGTCCTCCAGGTGATTTTCTTTCTAAGGGGATGCCAAAAGCGTTAATGCAGACTATCAAAGCTCCATAAAAGGAGTTTGTCGTTTTCGTTGTATTTCTGAACCTTCAAAAATAGAGATTAAAGCACCTGCAGATGTAGACAGTACATTCCATGCATGGCATGCTTTCCGGCATCCTTTCATTTTGATTCTTCCTTTTTTTTTTTTTTTTTTTTTTTTTTTTTTTTTTTTTTTTTTTAATTACAGTTCTTTGAGGTTCCGTTTGACTCAAATATGAACAGGACAAAAAACAGACCACTGGTGCGAGGACAGATCAGGTAAGGCTATGCACACCTGCTCCGGCTAATGAGAAATGAGTCTTCACGTTGCTTTCATCTATCTCCAAGCTTTTCTCTCTCTTCAGATGACGAAAAATAGCAATTTCAGACAAAAGCCTTAACAAAGAAATTCACCTCTGTTTTTCGATTCTTTTTCATGTTTATAACTTCCACATGAGGAGTTTAGCTAATCAGCTGTCCCCTAAAATACTGAATTTCTCAAGACAGCAGAATTTCCACTCATATTGTATATTTCTTCATGTGTGACAACTACATGGACAGCATGGTAGCACGCAGTTATGTTCCACTGAACTTTTGCGTTAGTTTGTAACAACAAATCTTCAAAATTTCACATCTAAGAACAAATACAAAAGTGTATATTGTTTTTAGTAGTCGCATTTATCTGTTAGATCATGAACATTCATTTGACTCTCCCAGCAGAGGTATCTGCAACTCATTTTTTTTAGTGGTTTTGTGAAGCACCATGTTGTCTTTGCCTTTTTTACATGTTTAGCATAAAGCTGGAGTGCAGACTCACAATGGTGGCATCTTATGAAAATAAAGTAAAAATTTGTCATCATTTAGTTTATCATCATCCATAAGTAAATTCCTCCCTCTCCCACCCCCCCCAAAAAGCCCTGTATTAGCATAGGAATTCCCTTAAAAAAAAATATATATATCCTTCATTCGCTCTGTTTTCTGGATTATGTATCAGTTCAGTTTCTCAAAGGGTGTTTTCCAGCTAAAAAAGCAAAGTGAAAAAGAACATCAACAAAAAACTCTAACTTATTTGCAAAATAAAACTGAAGGCCCAATTCATAAATGATTCAACAAACAATTTTAGTATTGCATTTCCATGATTTGTGCCAAGGATTATTTATAACAAAATTATGTTTTCCCTTAGGCTTCTGCGAACAGTTGGTCCTGTTTATTTCTGTGTTTTATCCATCACCTTTGGAGGACTGAAAAAAATGTGATGGATGAAATTACAAGAAAATTGAGACAAAATAGTAAAGTGAACCTCAGGGGTAAATTCACTCTCATTGTAAATAGCTAGAGCACTTCAATAAACTTGTTCCGATTTGTTCTTGAAGACAGTGCTAATTACAGATTCCTGAGTTGACTTAATTTTATTTAAAAACATATTTTAGGGACCACTGCAGTGAGGGCATCTGTTGTACATACAGTAAGTCAGCCTTAATTGTGCAGTTCAGGGGAGCTGCACTTCTGCTCCACTTGCATGTGGTCCTTTAGCCATGGAAGAAGGGAAGAAAGATGATGGGGGGGATTTCTTTTTTTTTTTTTTTTTTTTTTTTTTTTTATTTTATTTTATTGATTCTTTTTTTTTTTTTTTTTTTTTTTTTCTTTTAATCATAGTCTACTAGATGGCTTGCAGTGCTTCTGGGGTCAAAAATATAGCTAGGAAACTTTCTGTCAACTTTTGAAAGCAATTTGTTTTATAAGTTTCCAGTGTCCTTAAACAAACTTCACTGTCATCTGAATGCACCACAGATTGGCAAAACCATATTTAATGGATTTTCTTACTTCCCCCCCACTTCATGTTTGCTTTCACCACAAAATGGAAATGTTGGGGACTTCGTGTAATCACTCATCAATCTATCTACCTGACTGTCAACAGCTAATTTGAAGTTCTTTAAAGTGTCGCTTACCTTGAATAATGCCGGTCTCATTCCCTGTAGACTGTTGAACATGCAGACCTTGACTGGGGTTATTTCTTCTGCGGTATGCTGGAGGAGAATAATCCAGTGCAAGTGATGTAACCTTGTTATATTTCGCCACATATTCCCTGGTGTTCCTTGAACTCTTTCCTTCCTGGCTGATTAAATAAAACCCTTAAATGGTTATGCTAAAACTGGTTGAAAACAGACTAGACAGATAAAGCATATGTAAAAGACTGGTGTCTTGGCTTTGGTAAGGAACCCAGAGAGCTTGAGGTACGTACAGAGTCCTTGCCCGAAATTTGTCTTATGTTTGAGTTTTGACATTTTCTTCTCTTTAGCTGCTTCATATCATGTGATGTTTGGTGCTTTTTTAATTCTGCTGTGTTACAACATCTGTGATATCCAGTGCAAATGAGACATCGTTTTACAATCTGCCTTCATTTGCACTGTTTGTAGATATATTGTGGTTTCCCTTCTGTCTGTCTTTTTATTAATTTCACATAGTCCTTGTTACAGAACTGGTCAGTATGGGTAGCAGAGTCATACCGGTTTTTGTATGGTCCAGTCCTGAGCTTGAGAACCCTTTTGAAGAGTGAGAAAATTTGTTGACTCTCCATTGTGTTGGCTCACTGCACCTCCTTGGAAAAGCTTTCGATGGTGGCTTTGATGTGAACTTCTGCCCACTGAGAAACTGCACTGAGACCAGTGACATTTTTTATAGAGGTTTATAGAGGTTGTGGCATCACAAAGACAATTCTTCGATGCTTTGAACTTGGGCCAGAATCAAACTGGTAACTCCTTTGGTGTTACTAAGTCATCCAGACCCTGGATGAGCTGGCCTATCTATTTTAGATAAGCTAATTCATGGACCTGGCTCATTAGGAAATGTTATGCTGTTGTAGAGAAATTATTCCTGTGTGTTTCACTTTGTGGCCTCCATTTGCAGCTTCAACCCCAAATTTAGTTAGGTTTAAGATCAGCTGTCGATTCTAACTGACCTTGCTTCCAACATTTCTCCCTTTCCTTTCTGCCTGAAGCCTTTACTTTGAAAAAACAACACAATCCGCCCTATCTTGGCAACACTTGTGTGTGTGTTCATTTCCCTGCATACATGTTCACATGGTTCCCAAGTCCCCTCATCTGAGTATTTTCTACAGGTTGCCAAGGACTTGCAGTTTCCTTTGGCATCAGTGAGGAACCTCAGTAGCTTTCAAGGAAATGCTCTGTGGCCAGGGCTGCACTGTGGAGTGTGACCGTTGTCATGGCCTCTGAGGTCTGGCTGAGGACAGTGTGTCATTATTTTGCTGGTGACACTCAAGAAGTGTTTAAGTTAGGCAGCTTTGGCCTGACCATTTCTCCAGGCAGCATCCTGTGAGCCAGGAGCCAGTTCTGCAAAGACCTCTGGAACAATGGGATTTGGAAAAACAATTGTCCTCCATCCTTTGTGAAGTCCTGTCTATATTGCTTCAACTTTATGGCTGAAATAGTTATCTAGAGGCTTAGTGTGCACCTGCTATATATATTTTATATAATTTGGCCTGGACCAAACCGTATAGGCAATGATACAGACTGCAGAGCTGGGGTCTGCTGTACATAGGACAAGAGTACATATTCCTTCTTTGCCAGCCCCAAACCCACCGCTGATGACCCCAGGGAATCTTCTGACGCTGTTGCTTTTGACAAACAGCACCTGATAGTTCATTGACTGCTTGCTTTACAATGTCCTATTTAATTTGTAAGGCTCTGAAAAAAATGTTCCCTTTGAGCAATGAGACGTAACCATCCTTATTCTCTATTCAGAGAGTAATCAGAGACATCCTGTTGCAAAAATAACAAGAGTAGACCCAAACCCAGCATGCCACTAAACGCCATCCATCATTCCAGCCTGCCCACATGTCCTCCTCCCTCCTCTGACCCCTCAAGTCCTGTTTGGAAATACAAACAGCTTGAGATGTTCTTCATACTTTGGCTGCAGTGTTAAACTCATGGAGTATATTTGCATTTCTCATTATAACAACAGCTGATATTATTTTTGCTGCTATGAATTGTTTTTATGTCATTGATGAGGAAAAATTTCATGTGCTCGCACAACCTTAGATTCAATTGAAATGGCAGCAGCTTTTCCTGGTTTCCTGTTGGATATGATTTACTCCCTTGCTTTTTAAGGTAATGGATTTAATTTTCCTGCAGATTAATTTAAATAAATCTCTAGTATTAGCTGCAGTAGCTGACTGAGCTTTGCCTCTAGGATGACAAGTGTCCTGCTCTATTATATTGTACAAAGTGACAGCTTTGATTGCCCTTCTACAGAGAACTGCATACACTCTTGTTAAAAAGTGGCTGTTTTTATGAACTTACAGTACTGCTGGATCTGCTGTGCTAAGCACTCATAAAAGACTTAATAGTTGTACAGGAATAGTTTTTCATCTTAAAAAAAAAAGTCATCAAACAGCATGTTCTAAATAACTAATTCACGACCATGTAGACACCTTTCAGTTCTGTTCCTGCAGTATTTTGCAATTTGCAACTATTCTCTGTACCAAGTCCTACAGCCTTTGGCTTTGGTCTTAGCAGGGGCTGCAGTGTCCGCCTGGGAGTGGAGTTGAGATTTCTGCCTTGCTTGACCTCCAGGTTTCTTGTCACCCGGGCTGTGAAGTGTTGCACAAGCAGCATCGGAGGATGGTTCAGGCTGGAAGGGACCTCAGGAGGGCGGTAGTCGAATCTCCTGATCACAGTATGGTCAGCTCTGAGGGCAGACCAGGTTGCTCCAGGCTTTATCCAGTCTTGTCTTAAAAACCTTCAATACGGGAATAATATGCTATGGAATTTAATTATAGTCTCCTTACGCGGAATATTTTCACTCTCAAGCTTGCTTTTCTTTGCGCATTTAAGAAGTGTAAGTCTACGAACTTGGCACAAAACAGATAATGCCTTGGATCCTTCCAAAGAAATAAATCTTCATGTTGTTTAGTAAATATTTTTTCCTAGAATCCCATTAACCTCTTCACTTAGCAATGCACAAGGAACTGGGTTCTGTATATGAGCTTCCCGCTTTTTATGGCCACGGTTGGTGATGATTGCAATTAATGGAGACAGTAACGCTTTTCCTACTAGTTGGCGTTTCTGAGTGGTCAGTTTAAACTATAAGCCAAACTCTTGAAAAATCAGACCAAAAAAAGCTCCTAAGCTAGCAATATTTCTCACTGACGGCTTGTATTCATGAATTGTAGTTATACATGCAAATATGTAAGTTGGACATTCATGAACTGATAGAAAATTGCATCAGACTTCCCCTGTTTATTCAAAACCACATTGAGA